GCCGGCCGCCGAGACGCGCCGCTCCTTTGAAGTCCCGCCCCGCTGTGCTTTGCAGCAGAGAGCTCAGGCCCCGGGAGCTGAAGCCCAGGGAGCTTTGGCAGCGAGATCTTGTTAGAAAAATTACACTGTGGCATTTTGTTCCTGAAGAAACCCGATAATTATGAGCAGCATCAGGGTTGCTGCGTTAGGTTGAGGGTGAAGATTCTGTAGTCAGGAAAATGTGGGTTGGACTCTCACTGCATCCTAAAGAAGTTAATCAGCTCTGCTGGGCCTCAGTTTCTCCATCTGGAGAGAAAACTTTCATAGAGCTCTTGCGAAGATGGATGAGATGATACTTGTAAAGTGTCTGGTCCAGACCTACAACCTCCCCCCCCCACACACACACACAAAGAAAACCCTTACTAATTAGTAGCTATCGTTATGAATTACCACCCGTCTCCTTTCGAAGGTACATTTTATTGTGAGGTCTTTGCTTGGGATTAAAAATCTCTTTCGTTGGCCATTTTTCCAGGGTCGTTTTAGCATCAACCTGTACGGAACAGGCCTTTCTCTAACGGAATCAGCCAGATGGATCTCACAGGGGAACTATGCCGTCTCGGACATTAAGAAGTCGCCGGTAAGGCTACCGAGCTGGAGGAGGGGTTTTGTTTTCTCTGCCTTTCTCCCCTGTCCCCTCCCTTCCACCCCTGCCCTCTGTGGTGGTATGAATGTGCTGTTCCCACGTCCACTCACCGTTTTGCAAAGTGTCAGAAGATTTAGGGGACTGAAGGTGAAGGGTGTGTGGTGAGCGGAAGGGCGGGAGCCCTGCTTGCTCCTGGTGACCTCTCCGTGAAGGTGCAAGCCTGTGACCCAGAGGTCACTGGAAGGACACCAGCCAGGAAGCTTGCAGCGGGAGAAGCCACTGAGCAAGTGTGTGCATCGGACTCCTTACAATCGGCCAACGTGAGATTTGCTTTTATGAACTTAGGGAAAAGAATGTTTAAGAAGAATTGAAATACAAGCAGAGCTGGAAAAAAGGGGTAACTTAGGTGAAATTTCTGGAGAGTTAGAGAACACGCACGTGTTCTACAGTAAGCAGCTTTTCATGCTCTGAAATCTTGCTCCTCGAGGTGGGGTCTGTGGAGATATAGCATCAGGATCACCTGGGAGCTGGTTGAAAATGCAGCTTCTGTGCCCCGGAGCCTCTGGGTCAGCTTCTAGGCTGGACAAAGTTGCCTGGTGGTTCGTTAGCACCCGCAGCTTGAGAAGCCCTGACCCCGGCCTCAGTGTACATTAGGACCACCTGGGAAAGTTTAAAATGCAAGTGCCCTGGCCCTGCCACCACTGATGGGAATCTCCAGGTCCTCTGCTCTTCACAGCTTCCCTCAGAAGTTCTGAGTATGCAGCAGGAACCTGACCTGGGAGCAAGTGGGAACACTTACCATTGTATGGCCTGTGGCCCATCTGGCCCCAGCCATGACCCCTGCCTCAGGGCCCCCTCAGGAATGTGAGGAGGGGAGGGAAAAAAGAGAACTGGAAAGTGGGGTGTTATTCCAAAGTAGGGTTGCCAGACAGAATACGGGATGCTCAGTTAAATTCAAATTTTAAATAAACAGGAACTTGTTTTTAACTATGTCTTAAACATCGCATGCGGTGGCATACTTACTCTAAAAAGTATTTGCTGTTGATCTGAAATTCACCTCTGATTGGGCATCCTGTATTTTTATTTGCTAAGCCCCATCAAAATCAGAATATAAAGAAACAGCTCAATCTGTTTCCCCTTGGGAAAGGCAGAAACATCCAGTTATGACTTCCCAGAAAAATCTGAGTTTCCTGATTCCCTTGTTTTAAGCTGTCAGGATTATATTTGTGTCTATGATAGAAAAGGTCTCACTCCCTCTTGTCTCTAAACCAATCGACTACTTCTAATCAGATTGATTGCTCATAAATTAATCATTACATGTTTTTCCTCGCACCGAAGGGAATGAAGACAGCTGAGAGCACAGGAGTGCGTTAGAATGTGCCCTGAGATTGTAATGCTCTGCCCCACCTCTGCCCTCCAGGGTCAGTTTATTCTTATGTTTCAGTGACCCAGAGGAACAAAAAATCATTAACTGCCCAAAACATGGTCAGACATGAATCATGATTATGTAGGAAACCATCTATGTAAACTGTGTAACGTACGTTTCAATTCTATTTGGCAGACAGTCAATTATTCCAGTTTACTGGTGAAACTAAAAGTAATTACAGCCGGGAGCGCCACCTTGTGGAAACTGATTACTACTCAGCCAAGATCTGGCTGCTCCCCAAGCCTTGGGTGAAGCTCCCCTGTGCTGGAGGGAGGTGGTTCCACATTGCCTGTCAGCATTTTCTTTGTAAATCATGGTGTTCCATGACAGGTCTGAGAGCCTGAGCTCAGAATTAATCTCCAGGGTCTGTGGAGCATTCCTTGTGCCTCCTCCGGAGCCAGGACTGAGCGACCTCTAGCAGCAGGCAGCCCCTAGAAACGCTGCCCTTCGTGCCTGACCTCCATGCGATCCACGGAGCTGCATCCCCCAGGGATGCTCCGTGGAAATAGGCCTCCGCAGCCAAAGGCACTTGGAAGGAAACTTCTGTTTTATTTCCTTCTTGAAGAGCCACAGTAAGCATTGGGGTCTTAGAGGTTGGAATAAAATATATGGGATGGGAACCTATGTAACTTTATTCAAGCCAGCGTTCCCCTAAAACAGGGCTTCTCAAACCTGAGCCTGCATCTGCACCACCTCCAGGACTCGCTAAAACTCAGCCAGCCTGGGGAGGCCCCCAAATGGACATTCCCAGCAGTTTTCTAGGTGGTGTTGGTGCCCCTGGCCTGGGAGCCACTGATGTAAGTTAAACCAACCACAGAACCTTCTTGTCAAAGTTGCACCTTTTAATTGACCCGAACAACCAGCCTCCCATGAAACACTCTTTGCAGAATGCTCCATGCCCTCCTCTTGCCACGACCTCCCCCAGCCTGCCCCTGAGGGACGGCCTTGGCCCCTTGGAAGTCACAGTCCTCTCCAAACAGTCCTGCTGTGACTCAGCTCTCAGATAATCATTCGCACTTTCCTTCACTTCTCTACTGGGAGCTACAGAGAGAAAAACACAATGAAAACCTCAATTTCCTAAACCTGGTTGGCAATAAAATGTTTTCCCCGAGCAAAGCTAAAGGAAAAATCTAGTTATTCAGGGTAATGCTGGACCACTTGGAGGGCAGGGATGCTGTCTCACCATCAGGAGCAAAACTGGTAAAAATAAGACGCAGTGTCAGGTCTGTTGGCTCTCATGTGTGTAATGCAAAGAATTCTCCTCCTGTTCGTAATTAATAATCATTATTTTATAATTGAAATAGCTACTATTTATTGAGCAAGTTCCATGCGTTTAATCCCATTCCTCCAGCCGCCTGGGAGGGAAATTTGAGAAGGTGGGCAGGGGGAAGCGAGGTGTGTGATTTTTTGGCGGTGGGGTTGGTCTTCCCACCGTGGCTGTAGAGCTTGGTCGCCGAGCACTAGACTGTTAAGTGGGATCGCCTGAGCCTGCCCTGTCTAGCTCTGCCGTGTTGGGCAGGTTATTTAACTTCTGGGGGCCTTGATTTCTTTATCCATAAAGTAGGGATCTTGGTGGCCCTTATCCCACGGTGTCCTTAATGCTGAGGTAGGAATGCAGAGCTGGGTGCCTGTCCCCGGGCCGTCAGCAGGCCCGCCATTGGCATTAGCTATTAATGTTACCACATTTGCACAGCCCTGAGGCTTGCCACAGCTTTTAGAAGCTGGGGAGCTGGCGAAGGAAGCAGGCTTCTCGAGGTAAACCGTGGAAGGCCAGGGGACTGCAGGCTGAGCCAAGGCTGAGCTGGGCCAGCTGGTACCCACAGCACCACCTGGGTTTTGTCCACGTGGGTCCCCACCCCACCCGGAGCGAAGCAGGTGGGACAGCCCCTTGGCCCAGGGACTGACTTCTAGGCAAGGGTTTTGCTGCGCCTGCGTGGCTCAGGTGCCGATGCGGTTCTTTCTGTGCTTGTGTGTGAGGGACAGAGAGGCAGAAAGGGGAGCAGATGTGAGACCGGAGAGAAAATACGAGAATCCGAGCTCCTCCGCAGGAACATTCTGTGCGTGCTGCTCACGTGGGCGCTCAGGGTCTGCACCGCCCTTGGCTCCGCCGGCTCTGGGAGCCCCGGTGTGGCCCGCGGGCCAGGAGCGGGTTCCAGAAGGGCCTTCAGAGCCGGGCAGAAGGAAGGGAGGCTCCGTCGGGCTGGATGGGAGAGGCGCCCGGGGCTTTGTGCCTCTCTGTGCGCCTGGGAATGTGGAGCCCGAGGCCCATGTTTCTAAGGCCTGGAGGCCTGGCCCCAGGCCCGCTGGCATCCCTTGTGCTGGGGGAGGAGCTGAAAGGGAAGAACTGCTCTGAAACTAAACCCGAGGGCAGGTGGCACTGCCGCAGGAGCCAGTCGGAGCCTGCCCTTCGTTCATTCCCAGCCCAGCCGGCGGGAGCAGCAGGAGGTGGATGTGTGTGCGGGGTACAGAGAGGTCCCCCTGGTCTCCGTGGGCCGCCTCCTCACCCACAACTCGCTGACAGTCACCTCCACCAAGTGCAAGGTCATACTACAGACCAGCAGAATCATGTCCTATGTATGTACTATTCTGTGCATCCCTATAGAGATTAGACATTTGGACATATGTTCATAGGTAGGTACCTATCTGGGGCTGTATTGGAAAATGGATATATCCACATACCACGCTTTATGGGCAATTTCACCACCAGCACACTCCAAAGAAATCTAAATGAGCCACTTTGGTCCAAGATGTGCTGGCTTCCTAAGTCACACCGAAACCTCCCCTTCCATACTGAGAAAACAGAAGTTAGGAAAAGTGACATAGAAACCATCCTTAATGGAGCAGGGAGTCATTCATCTTAATTATATGCAAAAGCTCAAACCAGGCTGGCTGACAAAATATTCATTGAAGGATTCATAGGCTTTATTTTTAGAAAGCTTCATTTGCTTTAATGAAGAAATAAAAATGATTTACAACTCCTGTTTTATTGTAGGTGAGCGGGTGCTTCTAAAATGCTAGAAAACAGACCTTTTTCCCTCAAACAGGCACTGTTTCCATGACAGTCATGGTTACCCTGTGCATTTCCTCACTATGCTTTTTGTTGTTGTTGATCTGTAATAAAAATAAGTTTTGGGTCAGCTTTTATCTAAATCAAATTAACAGCGTCCCAACTAATGAAATAACATGAAAATTGCGAAGTCATTATCAGTGATTTTATAATTTCCAGACTTTTCCTCATCTCCATGGAAACAGGCAATGATGGAGAGGCACAGATAAAATACACCTTTATGGTACAAACAGCAAATATTCAATGAGCACAAATATTAGATTAAGTACTAGGCTAAGCACTTTACATGCATTCATTGATGTACAGCAAACCTGTCAGGAGAAACTAATCCCTCCCCCATTTACAGACGCCACGGAAACAAGGCTTCAGCGTTATTTAAAGTTGCAGCACAAGCCCCAGGCCGCTGACAGGTCACCTCACTGCTGGGTCAGGAGAGAGTTTAGGTGAAGGTTGGTTTGACATCAGGTCCAGTTGGTGGTGTCAGACTAGCTCCAGAACTAACATGGGCCTGAAAACCAGGACCATTAGGGTGATAGAAACCTCCCAACTCAATCTCACTCATAATCCAAAGCATGCAAATCAAAGAGAGAGAGAAACTATTCTGTTCTCTTTATTTGTTAAATTGGCAAAGTTCTATTTGTAATAAGATCATCATTATTTGCAAGAAGTTTTCCTAATTTGGCCATAAGAACCAAATATTCACACCCTTTGACCCAGTTCTGGGAACGTAGCCCAAAGATGTCCTGAAATGCAGGCACAAAATGGTCCATCACAGTGCTGTTCCCAAAAGCAGATGGAATCCGGGAAACATCCAAGATGCCGAACACTGTGCAGGAGGGGAGGGGACGGGG